TTTGTTTCGTATAATACGTCGATGTTTTCCTGTACCATCGTGAAAAGATTATTTAGTTATGCATCGATGATAAAACCACGGTGTAATAAATATTCAGATACAACATCTGAACGAAGTTAATTGTAAAAGCCAATGTGAATACTAGAAAATATTTCATTTTTGATATATTAAACATTTTCGCTTATCTCCAGTGTAATGCAATTAAATTAGATTAAATTAAAACGAAATTAGACAAAGGGAGGGTTGTTCAAAAATTACTGTAACACGAAAACACCATTATAAGGAAGTTGCTTTCGAAAGCTTAATAAACGGAACGAGCCCGGTGTTGCAGTTTACGAATTTATCGTTGCATCGAGAATCGAGCAACGACCATTCCGGGGTTAGAATTTTATAAACGACCACCGTCTGGTATTTAACCGTGTTAGGTTAGTTCCACTGTATTTCCATGGTGAACTGTGGACTTTTGCGGTGTCGTATACCGGCACTGCTAACGAAAATAGGTCGCCGTTGCTGCTACAACCGGACCGTAGCTTGTATATATATTTTTTTCTTTCTCGTTTCTTTCTCGCCGCCACTTTCTCTGCCATTCTTGCATGCCACCCGAGCGTCCAGAAACTCGAATGCATTTTTAATAAAAAATAGAGAAGCTTTTAGTAGGTGATTAAAATTCTCCTCGCAAAAGGGGACACGCTACGAGGAATCGGACTTATCTTGTTTCTTCTGAAACGACCTTCTCCGGAAAATACCTGTCGCGGAACGAATCGAGTGTGCCTGGATTCCGTGTCTCGTGATTTGCTGGCAAAAAGGAGGCAGTAACGAGAGGAATGGAAGGAACAGTTGGAGAAATGGAGTTACCGAAGAGGAGACACTGACGAAGGAAGAAACCCGTAGGACCAGATGCGACACGAGGGCAAAGGGACAAGGGATACAAATGGATACGTGGATCGACACTGGAGAAAGAAACAAAAGAGCGGTACGAGCGAGAAAGAAGGAGGGAGACGAGAAGAGGAAATAGAGTAGCTTCGAGAAAGCTTAATGAGTGCACGTACAACGTACGTTTAGTATGTCTCCAGCATTCGTGGGTAAAGATAGAAGCCGAGGGTGGAGAGGACGAGGGAGGGTGCTTCTGGTTTTCTAAGGTTGGTAAAGAACAACCCTACACCGTGGCTGGATAAACAAGTGGTAACAAGCTACGTGCTTCCTCTCATCCTCTCATCTTGCTTCCACCTTCTACTGTTTTTCCACTCTGTTCCTTTTTTCTACCGGATTCCCTATGACAAATCCACCCCAGGGATACCGGATGCTTTACCTTTCCTCTACAACTCCTTCTCCTTCTTCTTGCTATACAAGATACATCACTATGTTCCACTTTCATCTTTGCTTTGTTCCCACTACCAAACGTGGACTATGATTCTATATGAATCAACATTGTAAATTGACTTACACTGTTGTCCATGAGTCATGAGATATTCGCTAGATTTATATTTGAATTAATGGATTAATGAATGGAATATTTAAATATTAAAATGTATTGAAAATTTCGTTTTCGACGAAAATGTTGAAGGGTAATAATTAATTTTTTTTTTGTCTGCTCGTGGTATAAAATTCCAATTTTCCAGTGGTACTTTTTATTTTCCACGCGCTCGGTGTAGAGAGAAATTAGCCAAATGCAAAGTATTTAATTACGGTAATTATTACTGTGAGGAAATGATTCCCGTAAGCAGTGGCTAACTTTGCTGGAAGCAGTTTATGTGATACAGCTATATTTCTGAGCAGCGAGGAAGCTTATAATTGAAAGCGAGAAGAAAACAAAAGAATATGAAAATTTTCAATAAAGTTTTACTGACGTACTCTCTATTGAAGTTGCCTTTGCTTTCTAATTTGTTAAAATCAAATTAAAAAAGAAATATTTTTTTTAAGTTTCTACTATTCTAACTGTTGCGTATTCCTAATAGAACATTATTATCATCGATTGAAATTCTCTCTTAATTAGTATGAAAAAGTATCGGAGTTTCTATAAGTAGCTTATAGCGTAGGCAACAAACATATAGAGCGGAAACAATTGTGAAGTGAACTCTTTTATTAAAATTTTCGTTCGAGTCTCGTTATCGGAATGATCAACTTTTTATCTAGCAAAATCTTTTAAAGAAACAAAGTTTTTATATAAAGTATGATTAGTAAAAAAAGACCTACCAAAATCTTATGAAATGAAAGAAACTAACTCCTAATCAAATTCAATAAAAGTAATTAGATATTGTAGGAGAAAATTATTGACAACATTACCCATCGCGAAGCTAATTTGTTTACACTAGAAATTGGGCGGAACGAAGGTATCTTATTTGCTTGGCTCGTATCCCTGTTCTCGAGAGACCTTGTCACGATACGACGTATCATGATTCACTTATCATATATTTCTGTCTAATTGCTAGAACTAACTGTGCACGACAGAATGTTCTTATTAAATTATAGTACGATAAATGTATAACAATTTTGAGGGGAAACATCGTAAATGTAATAAAACAGGAATCATGTTGAGCGTTACAGTGAAAATCAGTACGTATAGTCAGACATAGTCGAAATTTGACTTATTAGAGATACGGATAGTTAATTATCAAATTTAAAATTCCAAATTCTTACCATACATTATAATATTATTATGTTGCAAGTATTATTATACGAATAAAAGAAACATGGATCGATGATGAAATATATTTTTAACAGAGAAAAGGGGATAGGGAAAGAAGTTCTTCAGTTTTCTCATTTATACAATGATCACTGTAATTAGAGAGTATTTCTCAAGTATTCCAATTTTATCTGCTGTTGAGACTTGGAAATAAAACTGCCTGGAAGCATCAATCACAGTATTCAACCTGTTAAAAATACAGTTGTTTCCTGTATAATGCTTCGAAGAAACATAAAGGAGTAGTAAATAAAAGTTTCTGTTTTCCAAAATACGTTAGTTTGAAGAGATCGGGAGAGTATATACAAGGTTAAGCCTTGTTTAAAAGTACTGCATGTACGTAGAAAGTTTCTTTTAACCACCTATTACTAAACTTGAAGTTAGCACTACGGATAGAAAGGATCGTTAACTTAATCCTTCTTTTGGATCAGTTTCAACTTCTGCGCATTGCGGCAGTAACTGATATTAATAATTCTGACCATTATTGAGAAGACGCGAATGGACAAAGCGTGAACGAAGAAACAAGGGGACAATTTGATTTTTCTTCCTTCATTGTCAAATCAAACATCGGATCGACCAACTTGCGATCGTATCGTTTATTTCGGTGGAATATTTTTAAATTTCTGGTCCTGCGCAGGCTGCCACGTTACTGTCGGATTTCTTTTTAATTATCTACTACCACCGCGCTGTCCAAAACCTCACAATAGAACCCGTCGTTTCCGTTCTACGGCTTCCTGCAGACGAGCTACAATATTTCGACTCCCAAAGGAAGTCACAGCGAAGGAATTTCATTCGTTCAGGAAGCTTTATTGGTCTTGCTGAAAAATTGAAGGCTGAATAAAATGTTACAAGTATTATTATACCGAACGAAAGAAACATGAATCGATAATGAAATATATTTTTAACATAGAAAATGGAATAGGGAAAGAAGTTTCTTTAGGTTTGTTATTTGTACAATGATTACTGTAATTAGAGAGTATATCTCGAGTATTCCAAATAATTGAGATCGAATATGTTAGCCTCCGCAGAAGGTAAATTATAATAATGTAAAATACAGGATAACGTTCGGATAGCTGGCGCTCCCCAGAGAATTAAATGACCGCAAAAAGAATTCCTACGAGACGTTGAGAACTGAAAACTCGATTACCTTTCACTGTTGTTTATATTTAATCTCAAGCAGATTGTTTTCGAATCCGTTTCTCAGGAGTATTATAAAGTTATAAATCCAGAGCTGAAATTTCGTTTCAGGTAGTTTTAGACGTATTACCGAACAGTAGATAGTGCAATTATTACAGAACTCTCGTATATTATCATGAAATATAAAAATGAAGCAGAAATTTGAATAAATAGAAATACAAAAATACTCAACGATTCGCATCGAATTCAAGTTGTTAAACGCCCTACGGGATATTAAGTGTGGTAATCGTTTCTGTAATGAGTTTTCAAGCGGCTGAATTAACTGATAAAAGTCGTAAACCAATAAATAGCTCGTCTTTATGCATTAGCAAGTGGTTCTGTCGTTTTTATTCGAGCATTTCATACCGCGGTTCGATTGCTTGAAATAAGAGCGCTTCAGCTGCCGCCGTTCAGAAAGCTAAACCGTGCGGAAATGTAGCGTTAAGCGGAAGAGTTTTGCGGACAGAGAAGAAAGGGAGCAGATAAAAATGGGGAAGGAGCAGATACGAGTGGAATACGAGAATAAATGTACAAGTAGAAAAAAAGGATGCTGCGAAATGGTAGCGAATGGAGTGCGAGAAAGATGACAAAAAATATGGCGTATGCAAAATAAAAGTACGTAAAATGAAACACTCTGTGTTGTAGAAAAGAAACTAGTAAACGCCTCGATATTCCCATCGTAGAAATGTTTATATTTAAATGTAATAATTATGCAAATATTGCATCTTCTATGAATTTTTCAGATACTTAAAGAAAAAATCATTTTGTTATTTCGATTGTCATTTTTTTCTTTCTTCGAATGGAATGCGCAAAAATCACGCTGGCAGAGGTGTCGTTTTCCCACTTTGAAACGAATCAGACTTTTACATTGTCGAACCGACATAAAGCCGCGGTTACAATTCGCGTGACGATTTGTTTACACGTGAAAACTGTTTGCTCTATGGTCAACGACCACCACGCTCGATCCCCGAATTTCCATTTGTGCTCGATGGACCGTGTAATGTCTGCTGTTTGACGTGACACAGTCACGGCACCGACACCGACAGGTCGACCCAATTTTTCGGCCTTGTGGAAACCCGCAGAGAGTGATTGAAATAGGACATTCTCGAACCTCAAGTATTAACGATTTCGTTTTCTTTTATAGGAGACGGTAAAAGATTGAAGAGACGTGGTCAATTTATATGGGTTGAGAAGAAAAAATGAAATGAAATTTTTGCACGATGTCCTAATTCAATTGCCGTGGACTGCAGCCTGAAAAATATGTAAAGCAACGTTTCAAAGGACAGAATTTGCGAAATTTTGAAAGACTACTGTAATAGTTAATGAGGAATGCTGTACGTGTCCGGTAGATCATTGTATGGGCAGATTTTGACCACGAGAGATAAGCTTCCAGGGGAGATGGACCTGCATCTCGAGAGGTAAACGTCACTCAAATGTCACTCCACATTCAAATGAGTCACATTAGTGTTAATTACATCTCGCTGTATTTGCATACCTGCTGTGCTGAACTAAAAGATCGTAGGGTGTTTAACTCTTTGCTATAAAATCTGTGAAATTTATTCACAAATAAGCAGAGGAGACTAATCAGTCTTGCAGTTCTTCATGTTTAATATACCTTATCTTGGTATTTCATACTTTACTTCAGTACACACATAACCCGCAAAACTCGTTATCAAGTGGGTAGTACATTATTATTCTTATTTAAATTTCGTATAATTAAGAGTAACATTTCATCATTCCTTATCGGCCGAAATAACGAGCATACGTGAGTATAATGAAATATGTTTTTCAAGCATGCAATGTAACCAGCATGCAGCTATAATTACGTTTCATGGACTGGTTCATAAAAATTAAGATTATTATTTCGTTGAAGTAAATCATGTATGTTTAGTCAATTTTTGATTTGATTTTAAAATGTATAACATTTTCATTCGAGCTATTCATTTACGATACTTTACAAGAAAATGATACACATCTTGAATTAAGACGCGTCATAAATTAATTTATCGTTTAAGTTAATTTCAAGAACTACAAGATTTCCGTATTCCCAGGTGATAATTGAAGTTGTAACACCGTACAGGTGTACACAACTTAAGCTATCACGTTTGCCTGATTAATTTCCAGTCACCAATTCCATGCCTCTCCGTGCAATATTCGTGGCATAGTTAACGCGTACGACGAATCGCTGGGAGCAGCAAACTCCCAAATACACTTTCCATATATCTACATTTCATTATATTGCGTGTGACCAAGCCATCTCATATAGCCCTATCGTTCAAAAGCACGTAGAAATACTTGCTATACGATAAAAACAACGTTCATTCATCTATTATATTAAATCTATGCAAAAGTAGCTATCATTTTTCTTTAATGAAAAATACGTATCTATTTTTCTTCTCTATTACTTTGTGCTAGCATCTATGTTAATATAAAATAGCTGAAATTTAGATATTTTTCAGATAACGAAGTAACACGTTCTTTATGATTTTTTCTTCAAATTAATAATGTGCCATTCGAGCAACAAATTGTATCTCTTCCTTTTTTTCCACTTTTTCATTGTTCAACAATTCTTCCTTTATTCTCTTGCGGTAGCGAGCAATTTTCTGAAGGTTACGGGGTACAAGGAACTCCCGTTTCGTTTATCGCATGCTTCGCAACGATTCGTTGGAGGTAAGGAGAGTCCTGTAAGAGGTTCCTGTTACCATAGGCCAGGTCGTCCGCACCGATAATTAGGAATCGTTTACATACACGCTTAAGTTTCGTGGACGGCAGCATATTGTGAAGAAGCGGAGCATAGAAAACGAGAAGGTTCTGCATAATAGCCGACTATTGTTACCCTCCTCGGTACTGCTAGCCCGGCTCGGTCGCTATTACCACAACGACGATCTAAATTCTCCTTTCGTTGCTGGCAACATCGTTTATTTATCGATTGAATTTAATAACCCGTGGTCGACCCGTTGTAGAGAATTAATGAACTTCTTTAAAAATTTTTATTGCAACAGCTTAATCTGTTCCTTTCACCAAAGATCTCTTAGTTGGAAATTTATTTTGCAATTTGTACGAAAAAATTCGTATTATTTTATTAAAAAATTGTAGATTTTCATCTGTCGATTTAAACTCTGAACACAGATGCGAGTTTCAATTTACACGAATACTTTTGCAGAAGCAATCTACCTTGTAAATCGAGGGTTAGATGTGATGCAAATGGAAACAAACAGGGCGAGTAATATTTTCTCTTTAGGGTTTGTATAAACGAGTCTCCGCGTAGTCATGTAAAACGAAGTATACACTTTCAAATGGATATTGATTTTTCTGCCGATACATGACGTATCCGACGTACAAATTCGTTCAGATTGCTCGCACTCGTGCCCGTCGAAATGTGACTCTTTGTATCTTTACCGTGTTCGCGGAAATCCGTATGGACGTGTGTATCTGTATTTCGCATGGAAATCAAATGGATGGCTTGTTCCTATAAAATTTCCACGAAAATTTTATGCTCCTCCTAGAACATAATCGTTCGTCCTGAATTTATATCCTCTCTCTCGTTTCTCATCGTTTAAACCTTCGATTCAGTTCGTTCCAAAGGACGTTATTTAAAGAAGTATTCGTGCAGCGTTAATTTATGAACTACAATTTTACTACTTGACACTATTTTTGTAATAAAAAAATTTTTTTTTGTAAGCCAGATACAAGAAACAACGATAGTTTTCGAGAATTCTATTTTTTGGCAGAAATCGTAATTTGAATTTTAAGACTGACCTCGTTTATCGCAACATCCGCCAGCGTAAAATCGATTCATTTCGAGGTTTCTCGCGAAATACGGCAGCCGTTGCACCTGTATGTACGGTATCTTATAAAATTAGGTTGGAACCATAGTTCCTGGAGCCTCGTTTATCCCCTAAAGAGAAGCCAACGACAGAAATACCGCGATTCAGTCCAGGTTTGAACGTCTTAACGAAGCTCGCAGCAATATCTGGAATTTCAAAGTTTTCTCTTTCGATCAATTCGTCTTTATTATTTCTATTGTTTTAGGGAAATAGAAAATTAAATTAAAATCGGGGCTCTCTCCATGGTCCGCCGTTCAGAGTTTAATTAGTACGGTGTAAAAACTGAAAAGAGGATCTGTGAAAGTGTTGGAATGAAACTTAAAATGAATTAAGAGCAGATAAAATTTCAAACATTTACTCGATATCGTTTCTTTGAAAATAAGTAGACCGGTAACATAAATCTGCGAAGATTCGTCTTTTCTTCTCCTTTCTTCTCCAACAATCTCGTCGCAGTTTCTCCGACGAAACCATCAAGTTAAGCCGCTCTAAAGTCTTGCTCAGGCATCTGAGATCGTTATGGGACTTCAGGTCTAGTGAAGTTTTAAGCTTCCACGGTGAAGCCACATAGATAACAACCGCGATTGCATCGAGAAAAAAGAAAGATCGTTTCCTCCGTCGAGAAACCGTCGATTACGTTCAGACTTTTACTACGTGCGATGTAAATTGCTTTGTACAACAGAATCTTTTTTTCTTGAAACCTCGTTAATCATCTACTCTTTGTCATTCTTTATTGTTTTCCTTTAAACCGTTGAATTTGATTTTTCTTCTGAACGTAATATAATCTAGTATTCTTCAAATTGAGAACCTCCCACCAAGATCGTATATATCTTTAGCTCTCCTGTTTCCAGTTTCATATTTTTATGTACCGAGGTATCCATGCCAGAGTACTATATCTTGCTATCCATCTTCCTGTGAAAATGGCTATTCAAAAAAGACTGTCATCCATCTCGTAACTACCACATTTTTCTTCGTCCTTTAAATACAAAGGGTATTTCTTTCCATAAAAAATCTTGATCATGAAAGCGATAGCGTGCCATTATTTTCCAACGGAAATACACTTTCGTATAGGTGCATCATTATATCCGGAATCACAATAGGGTTCGCGTGTCCCTTGCCCTTTCACCCTCATAGATTTGCTGCCCAGCGCACTTCATCCTCTCTATACCATTGCCATTATTCCGTTGGTTCCTTTTCCGGTGTGGATGCACGCTTTTCACACCTCCCGACAGCAACCGGTGCCTCTTTCAACCTTCTTCACCCCTTTGAAACGTACCTATGAAAAAGTCTGTTGGACAGAAGGAGGCTTTAAAACGCTGTCCTCTTTGTATTCTATCCTTGTACTTTGATAGTGCATTCTGTCTACGTGGACGTTGGTCTGTTTTTAACAAGAAACTGCATTTTCTAGCTACAATGTATTATGAAATACTTTTGTGATGTGTACTTATGTATTATGGTACTGGACAGAAGCCACTTGAGATAACATAGCAACAAGATTGGTAGGTTGGGTTTGGCCAGGTTATTTCGATTGCACCGCCTTTGACCAGCTGAAAACCCTTTCTTCGGTATATACCAGCTAGGATATACCGGATAAAATGTACGGGAAGAGAATCCATTTGTTACTTACAATGGAGTGAATTTCATATCGACGCGGTAATTTACACATAATAATTCGCGATAAATTGACGACGGAATCGGCGTGAAACGACAATCGTCGTGACGCTATTACAATTACGATTTCCTCGAATCCATTAGACGGTTTCCTTGTTAAGCAACTCGGTATTGTGCACGCGTGCATATCTTTGCGATTCGCTGTACATTTTTACTAGCATTAAAGGATTTACGAATTTTTAGTACGAGTTTATTCATTCAGAGATATACTAGCTTTGTTGAAACAATTCACATCGAAGTCCCTTGTAAAAAGAGCGAAAGAAGAGAACGATGGTAGAAAGCAAATATGAGAAAAGGAATTATGAAACATCGTCCTTGTGTGTTTACTCGAGAAACTATCCTAGCAGCAATATCCAAGAAGCTGGGTTTTCATAAAACTCTCTATGTGTGAAGACTGTTTTTAGAAACGTTTCAATATACCCCCGGAGGTGTACCAGATTTTTGGAATTAAAATAGAAATATCTCGAGCGGTCTATTTGACTATCAACTTCGAAATTCTTTTATCAAAGTTTCAGCCTTACAAATGATTCGATTCCTTCAGAAAATTCAGATTCAATTCTCGGTTACAAACTCTGGCTGTTCGGTAGAAATGAAAAGGTCGACCAAAGTGCCGGGGACACGTTGGAGAACAAACAGGAACGGAATGTCAACGCAGCCACGCGTCTACTTTCATATTCTTCGAGCCTCGTCGATCCAATGCAGCCCGTTAGGTACTATCAGAAAAATAAAGGGCGACGAACAACTTCTATCTATATTCCTCGAGCAGAATAGCATACACGATTCCTCCTTTACGAGGCACCGTCTCTTGGGCTCGAGCTACGGATAAAGCTCGCGGCGAAAGTTACTTTTTATTTGCGCCCGCAGAAATATGAATTTCCACTTTACGCGTTGGCATTCGATATCTGATACGCTGCAAATGTCAG